GACCATCCACGCCCAGTGTTCCCTGCCGGACCTCAACCACGACCTTCCACGCCCAGTGTTCCCCGCCGGACCTCGACCACGGCACACAACCACAAACACACAACAACAAACACAACCACAAACAAGCAACCACAACCACAACTACAAACACACAATCACAAACACAATCACAAGCACACAGCCACACACAAACACACAACCACAGACACAATCACACACACAACCACAGACACAATCACACACACAACCACAAACACGCAACCACAAACACACAATCAGAAACACAACCACGAACACAACCACAAACACACAACCACAAACACGCAACCACAAACACAATTACGAATCACAAACACACAATCACAAACACACACACACACAGACCACAAACACACAACCACAAGCACACCACACAACCACAGCACACAACCCAAGGACCCACAACCAAAATCGAGAACTACCATACTCAGGACCATGGCAACATGCTCCTCACTATGGCATCAAGACAATATGATTAATGTCATGGTGGGGATCACTCAAAGTAAAGTAATTGGTGCTTGCCTGCCTTTTTGTTGTTTTTGGGTTTCAATGATGTTCTATATTTCTGCAAAATGTTTACTTTGCAGCACCTTTTACCATTTTGTTGCTGCTTTGACTGCTTTCAAACTGGAGATGTATTATGATTGAATTTATTCAAGAAAAGTCTGAGAAGATTCCAAAACGTTGGAGGGGTTTGAGTTTGAGCTTTGAGAAGTTTGAGTTTCGAGAAGCCTCTTTCTGGACTCTATTTCTGGAGCCAGTCGAAAGGCCAATTGGCTAGTTGGCTGGAGCCAATGCAGACTCTGGAAGTGTCAGCCCTTCATTAATGGCTTTCCAAGAAGGAGGACATGGCAGTGATGATGCATAACGAAGGGCTGCTGGATCAAAACCCACACGCGGACAGGGATCTCCAAAGCCCTACAATCGCTCCACGCAGACTTGAGGAATGTCTCGCTCCAGGGAGATGCGCGGACGGATGGACGGATTCGCCCTACTTGGCAACCACGACTACTACAGCAAGGCCAAGCAAACTCATGAGGTCAGCTGCCTGGAGCCGGTCGAGACAGACGTGGAAACTATTGGAAGCTTGTTGCATGTCCGCCTCTGCAGTGCTGTCTGCGTACGCACTGCTCGATCTGCCTTGACTGCTTCAACGCGTCGCCACATGCCCAAGGTGTGGACGTAAGAACATCCCCTTCGGTGACTGTCACTACAGCGACGACGTTGACAAAGAAGGCAGTGATGACGGCAAACACGACTGCCACAAGGCTTGCCAAAGCCAGAGATGCTCCACACTGCACGCAGTCAAGCTGACTGGACAACGACGCTCAGTTGTCTTGCAAAGAACACTGGAGCCACAGAACGTCGTTGGATGGGAGCGATTCTACGGCGCTGAATCCAAGAGTCAGCGGATTCAGTGACTTTGGAAGCTGATGGCGAACCTTGGCACTGGACAAGGGAGGTCCAAAGATTGAAGACAGTGAGAACGGCGAGATGGAGCTCCTCAAGACGCACTTCATTGTTGACTATTTGTTGACTTGTTGATTTTGACCGGTTGTGCCATTTTAAAAGACAGACTAGTGATTAAACTTCGACAGACTTAGTTAATGCATCCCTTAATAATTTTCTAAGCCCCCCTTCTAGTCAACCCACTAAAGGCAAGATAAGCAGAATACACTAACTGCATAAGGCTGATATTTCTAAAATAGTTCTTTACTAAGAACATCCAAACGAACAAAACAGATCTAATTTCCAACTATATTTCAAGAGTGGTTTTGTTTTAAAAAATAATCACACTATTCTCCCAGAGGAGCCTTGTGGCCAACTTGCTCCCAACTACCACTGAAACCTACCTCTTCCCTGCTCCTACCTCTTCCCTGCTAGTTGGCTGCCCCAAACTTAGAAAATCGGCAGTGTGGTTGAACAATCTCCTCAAGACAACTTGAAGCAACTAGGATAGATCTTGAAGCTGCGGGAAGCGCCACGGTCTCCGAGGCTTTCGAATTCACAAGCAAAAGTCGCTAATTGCTGTCAAGGAGCAGAAGGACGGTTTGTGCTCCAAGCATTTTACATCGACTGGAACTTTTCAAACATCAAGAAAGTGGCTGACAAGGATAGGAAGGAGAGAGCCAAGTCCAGTCACTCGAATGCAGATTCAGATGATGTCAGTTGACCCAACCCACCCCAGGGCCCCAGATGTAAAGAAAAAACCTGGGGCCCAGGCAGCTTGGAGTAGCTGGCAGAGACAGGGATTCCGATCCCAAGATCGCTGCCCAACTTTGTTTGTGTATGTTCGGTGTGTCCTGGCCGCTTTTTGTGACTTGCCAAATCCAAGGTGTTTGGGAAGAGGATGAGGACGGTTGATGACATGGACATGACCTTCTGTACAAAACTCTGGCCTATAGAGAAGGAACAAGTCATAGTTCTTCGCATACATGTTTCTGTGAACCTACTCAACATGAGACTTTTGGCCCCTAGCTTCTGTAGGCAGCTAAGCAGCCATCTTGCGCTGATTCGCATTTTTGTCCCTGTGAATCCAATGCCATCAAATCCAGAACCATGGATGAGACGAGCCTGCAGAAGGCGCGCAAGCTGGTATTGATACATATTGAGAATGAACTAGGTAACTAGCCATTGAGGGAAAAGCCCTACCAAGCCCTTCAGTCCAAGCCTGTCGTTCTTGGTTTGTAGGTTCATGTCAGAATGGAAAGGGCTTGCACTCCACCTTGATTGTTCAGGCAACTCAAAAGCTGAATCTGAGTTGGAGCCTGGTGGGAAATAGAAGCTCTTTCACCTCTGGCAGCATTCAGTTCTGATAGCATCCGAAGAACGACAATGGTTTTCAGTTTGTTCTCTTGTCCCAACTGGCTTTGAACCTCAAGTATTTTGTGGCATGGTGCAAAGTTATGTCCCAAGCCTTCTGCTAAGACCAATGCAGCGCGAACAGACGCCGTGTCTTGTTGCACCTGGGCACGAAGTGTAGTGTAGATAGTTTGGAGATCTCGAGTTTCTTGAATACAGTTTGCAGGCAGAGATGGTCATGTGATGACGTGTACATGTAGCAAAAAGCTGGTGATCGCTTCGGACTCAAGTTGATACGAAACGAATCAAAAGAACGTCAAAGACATGTCAGAAACATCATGGGTTCTTTGCCTAACTTCACACAATTTGACGTCAAAGTGCGAAGCTCACTCGCTCTGAGCCTTCGTGGCCCAAGTTCCAATCAATGCTGAAGCTGAGAAGCACCTCACAAATGCATACAAATGCTCTTAGACGAGACAACACTTAAGCAAGAATATGCAAAAGCAATAGATGTATAGTATAGTCTCTTCATTGCGCTCAATGCACACAACCACAACCCCTTCACCCCTTCCTTCCCAGCAAGCATTTGTGTTTAAACTCTTTCTACAAAACTACAGCCAAGCCAAGCTTGTGAGTGCTTGCGTCCATTGGACGCAGAATCTAGAAACTAGCAATGATTTGAACATGTGCAAGAACCAAAACGACTATGTAGTGCTATACTAGAAGCTACTGGTACTTCATGTTTTGCTTGGGTCTTTCAAAATGACGAGAACAATGAGTGACCAAATTTGAAGATGGTAGATGTGAAGCCAAGAAGCGACTAAGAGTGACTAGTAGTTTTTTTGTACTTTTGCATCCTTCTCCGGTTCTTTCGACATGGCACCAAAGGCGTTGCCGAGTCGAAATGTCCTCCTGGCACAGTCATGTGAAGAATTGGATTGGCCAAGTCAGAAGCAACGGAAAGATCGAAAATGAAAGAGCAAACGTAAGATACCATATTGATCCATATTGTCATAAGATACCAACAGTCATGAACAGGACATGTCAGCAGCGAATATGAATGAGCTGTGGCACAACTCTAGGAATACGGACTTATCTCGATGTAAGATCAGAAAGGATTGCATACAAGCAAAAGCATTGCTTATAAGATCTGAAAAGCATTTTTGCAGCATTGTAAAGGAATGAACAGCAATGTAAAGGCATGCCATGACGTTAGGAGACGTTAGGAAAAAGGCGGATCAGTTTGTTGCCAGGTCCCAAGCGCAGTGATGAAGATGATGATGCCGAGGGAATAACTGGCCTGCTTGATTGGCTCTTCATCTCAGGGCGTAGGGCCTGCTTGTGGATAAATCACTTGATTTTACGTGTGAAAAGGAGTATACTTCATGCTTCAATATTTTTTGGGCTGCTCAGACTGTCTAAAGGCTAGCTGGCTGGCTGCGTGTCAACACCTTTGACACGTACTTGCATCCAATCGTTTGTGGGTAGCAGTTTGATCGGTGAACTTTAGATTTCGAGGGTGGCACTGGGTTTAGCTCCAAAGCCTTGGATTTATTCGGAGCTTCATTTTGCCTGCCAGGTTTGGACGTAGTTTATAAACTGGCCCTTTTCGAACTTCTCTGAATGAGATTCTACATGATTCAACAAATCCTCAAAAGTGGATTCATTTGTCTATAGAAGCTTTCGGTCTTAGATGTTTGATGTCAAAATTCTTTCCCAGAAACTGTATTGGACACTAGAGACCCCAAACAAAAAAAGGTGAACATACGAAGAGACAAAGACTGAAAAAGGCTCTGAAAGTCCTTGGGTCTTGGACGCTTTTTGTTGTCTTGAAGTCTTGGCAGTTTGAAAAAAGAAACAGCAAATGAACTTTGCAGGCTTAGCAGACTTATATGTTATATGAGCTTAAAGGAAAGCTTATAGATTGATTACCTTAGCTTAAAGATCTTTCCCTCTTGCACCAAGCTACGAGGTGGTGAAGGCAAAGACCTCTGCTGAGCAAAACACGGCGCGAAAGATGGGGGAATCACTGACGCAGCTCTTGTTGGAGTCAGAAACCTTAAGCCTTAAGATCCGAGAAAGCCTGTCGCAGAATCCCTGGAATGCGTTGTTCAAAGACTTCTTTGGACAATTTTGGAGGACTTCCCTGAATGCTTTTGTATGCTTCGAACTTGCAGGAGTTGTACTCAGCACTCGACATGGTGTCAATTTCTCAGCTCCTCGGGTCACACTTCTTGTCCACCCTGTGCAACATCTTGTGTAATTACTACGTCTTGACCGTTTTGAAGAAGGCCTGTGGGAGGCCACCCAGTGATAATATTGGTTCCTTTTTCTCCACCTGTCAGGTGAGGGTTGTTAGATTTTACGACAGCCCCATCTCCTCCTCGTCCTCCTCCTTCTCCTCCGCGTCCTCCTCCGCCTCGTCCTCCTCCGCCGGACCTCAGCCACGACCATCCACGCCCAGTGTTCCCTGCCGGACCTCAACTGCGAGCTCCAGACCCAAGTGTTCCGTGCCGGACCTCAACCACGAACAAACACACAACCACAACCACAACCACAAACACACAACCACAAACACGCAACCACAAACACCCAACCACAAACACAACCTGCGTATTCATGAAAGAAGCACTCACATGTCCATACAGTGTACGTAGTTCACTAAAGGTGACACGCACTATCGAGAAGTGTACCATGAAGGTCAGCTTGGCGAAAGAATCCGCATGGTAGCGAAGCCGAGGAACCTCATTGCCTTGCTCTGAGGGGAGGCTCCAGGGATTCTTTGGGGACAGAACCCGGATCCCCAGGTTGGTGGCCCTTTCGCCCTCGCCGGTGGCATAGGTTTCTGGCTAGTGTTGGACGGAGGTCCAGCAGCTCTCGCAATCAGCGCTGGCCTCCAGCGTTCTTTTTGGACTACAAGTTTTTCCCTTTCCTTTGCCCGTGATCCCTACATCGACTTGAAGTTCATCGCCCTGGAGATAGAGAAGAATGAGTTCGAGCAGCATAGCTGGTTTGGGAGGCCTTGGAGAAGGATCACCAGCAGCAGGATCTCCCACTGCTGGTGCTGGAATGGTTGATGGAGCTGAGATTGCAAGGCGCATGGTCCAGGCCGTGGAAGCAGCTGGAGCAGCTGCCAAGGCTGCTGTGCATGCAGTGCCCAACAAACCAGATGATCGAAGCTGGTTTCCTATCTTGCCGAAACCTCCCAACTTCGACCCACGGTCCCGTCATCGACGACATCAAGGAGATGAGAGCCAATCCAGCGAGAGAGATTACAGTGGCTCTTCAAGGTGATGAAGAACGACATCGAAGCAGCTTCCTGTATGCCCTGGCATCCCTTCTACGCTACAGGCCTCTGTCCCTGATCAAGCAGGTGAAGGGTTCAAATGGCCTGGAGGCCTTCGAGCGCTGGCCCAAAGTCTTGAACCAACCAGCAAGAACCGGTCCCGAGAAAACAGGAGCTCGCCTACCTAGATGAGACCATCAAGTTCGCCACCCTCACGCGCTGTGTTGGAGGCCAGTTGAAGACCTGGTTGCAGCTACAAGTGGCGGAGACTCAGAGCTACAGTTGATTGAGGGAGGCAATCGTCCAATATGATCATGCTATTACGAAATGGTCCAACTCGATGATCCTTGGCCAGGGCTCTGGTGGCCCTGGCCCCCATGGAGATTGATCGCATCGCTGAGAAGGGCAAAGGTAAGGGCAAAGGAAAAAGCAAAGATGGAGGAGGAGCTCAAAGGAAAAGGTGACCAGAAGGGCGCAAGGGCAAATCTACGAACAAGGGCCAAGATGGTAGTATGTCAAGCCAAAAGGGTCAGAAAGCTGATGGAAAAGGGAAAGCAAAGGAGAGCCCAGTGAAGACATGTTTCACATGCGGGAAACCCGGCCACATGGCGAAGGACTGTTGGCGGGTGGCGAGACAAGTTGAAGCAAGCTCAACACTGACCCAGGCTGAGACATCGAGTACCACCAACAGCTCACAGACGACAGCAACAAAGGCCCAACCGATCAAGAGGATTGCAGAGGTTTCGCGAGATGTTTCACAGGAATTCAACCATGATGGTGTTTGACCTCAGGTCGGCGAGTGAGGAGGATGAGTATGTCAGGATGATCCAGTTCTACGACATGGACGTGGATGAGGCGACCGAGATTGAGGCAAGAAATCCCTTTGCGCATCTGTGTGGTCCAAGCTGGAGAGGACGAGAATTTCGAAAGTGGTGAGGAGCTATGCCAGATCATTGTGGATTCTGGCGCTGACGCCACAGTCCTCCCGGCTTCATTCCTTGAAGTTGGAGCTGAGCTTGCCGAATCAGCACCTCGCCTACAGGACGGCCAAGGTGAGCACATCCGCGTCAGAGGCTACAAGAATGCATGCTTCTGCTTCAGAGCAGGACAAGGAGATCCAGATCCACGAAAAGGCGCACTTTGCCGAAGACATCAACCAGCCCATCATCTCCTTTCGAAAGATGATCCAGGCAGGATGGGGGATCCATGGCGAGGACCAAGTCTTGACCTATGGAGGAGGACCTCGGCAAATCAGGATCCCGCTGGGGAAGAAGAGCTTCATTGCAGAAGGATTTGCGCGGGCCATTCAGACAGCAGCGTGCATGGTGCGGGTCTTGGAGGCCAAGTTGATGAAGGAGCTTGAGGACAAGGCCATGGCTCAGAGTGGCTGGACAGGTGGGTAGGAGTCCATCTGGGGAAGAAGCTCCAAACTCCCCAATACCGTATACCATGGGGCGATTGACGCCACGGTGGACTGGTTTCGAACGACCCTGATCAAGATTCAAGGTCGGTGGCAATTCGTTGAGCTCTGTGAGGCACTACACGGACTTGCAGAGCAGGAGGAGCTGATAGAGGAAGCCAAGGGAGAGAACGTTTTGATGACGACCATCTTGACAAAGGACACCCTCACCACCGAGGAGATGGGATTTGAGGTCGACACTGGAATGGGCCTGGCGGCCCAAGCAGTCGAGAGAAGAGATGTGGAGTTGCCGGCAGAAGGAAGCTGGCGGAGTTGATGAAGATGCACATGAGCCCCTGAGGGCTGAAGGAGAAGAGCAAGATGCCTGGCAGTTTGCTGGTGAATGGCATTGAACTGACACCAGAGAGGAGGCTGAAGGAATTGAGGGCCGCGTGCAGCTTCTACGGCATCAGCGCTTCAGGAAGCAAGTTGAAATGCTATCAAAGGCTGGTTCCCATTTTTGCTTGGGTCTCGCCCAAACATTTTTCATGAGTGTTGGAAACCACCCTGCCTGCATTTTGAGGAGTTGCTTCGATTAGCAGAGAAGCAATATCAACGGGTCCTCGGCTCCTGTCGGCGATCAGCTGCAACGGACATTGACAATGCGGTGTGGTCTGCATTTCTGGCAGAGGTCGACAAAGGTTGGGCAGCGGGCTCCTTCACTATGGAACAAGCAGAGGAGCAGACGCTTGGACTGTTCGTTCTCTCTCGGCGGTTCGGCGCCCAGCAGAAGAACAAAGTCAGAGCTATTGATGATTTCTGCGCCAGCCGCATCAATGCTTGCGCAGGTCTTAAGGGAAAGGTCTAAGTGCAGTCTGTGGAAACTGCAGCCGCGATGATCCGTGAATGAATGCACGCGCGCGCGCCGGGCGTGCCTTAGTAAGCCTTAGTAGTTAAGACCTTTGATTTGAAGAGAACTTGCCGTCAACGTCAACTCGGCGTTTGTCCGGAACACCTTTTTGCCGCCTGAGTTGCTGTTTCTGACCTTGCCAGTAAAGAAGCCAAGCTTTTTTCAATTGCACGCGTTACCTTTCAGTGCGTCCGCAGCAGTGACCAATTTCCTGTGATGCGCGGAAGCTTTGACAGCTGCTGGAGCGCGCCTTCTGCACTTCGCCTGCATTTCGTTCTCTGACGATTTTGTAACCGTCAGGACTCGATCTTGCGCTCGATGACAACAAGAACAAAACCTTTGCAAAAGTTTTAGCGTTAAGTCTGTCTTCGCCAGCCAGGCAATGGAACATTGGTTTTCTTTTTTCATTTAGATATTCCTTTTGATCTTCATTGTATTTACAAAATGTTTTTACTTTATTTTCACTCCTTTTGGGATTATCATTTTTGCAGCATGTTCATCCTTCCAGAATGTGCTGGCTTTGCTGTCACTTCCCATGGGCTTCCAAACGCACTTTGGTCACAGTCAACGCCCCAAAATATGGAACTCTATAGATGCGTGAAGGGGTCGCCTCACCCATCCCTTCCCGAGCAATAGAAACCAAGGATCAAAATCGCGGAATGCAGCTTGCAAGCTGCTGAGCTAAAGCACTGGGCCCCAAAAGCCTGAGCCTAGTGGCCTAGAAATTCGTGTCATACAGGGATGGGAGGTAAAACAGCTTAGTGAGGAGACGCCCTCGTCCTAGCCCTGAATGAAAACTAAAAGTGCACATGAAATTGTCAGAAACAAGGACAACAAGCATGACTCAAGTGAAAACAAAACGACAGATGCAAAGAAAATGATGAACCAACATGGTTTTCTGAAAACCAAAATGACAGATGAAAAAAGCACGAACCAAATGAACAGCAAAATGACAGATGAACAAAATGATGATCAAAATGCCACACGAAAAAATGATTAAACAACGAAATGAGAAGCAAATGAGAAACACAAAACGAAAAACATGAAAAGCTGTTCGCTCGAAAGTTGCAATTTTCCTCGAGTTTTTTCATTTGTTATCGTTTTGGCCAGTTTCGGCCACAAAGCAACGAAAATGCAAATGAAAAACCTTAAAAATTGTCTAAAAACATGGAAAATTGTTTTGTGTTCTCGGAAATTGTGATTTCCCTCGAGCTTTTTTCATTTTTCGTTTTGGCTAGTTTCCGCCGCAAATCAACGACGGTCAGGTCCATTTCACAAAAGTTAAAGCAAAATAGAAGGACATGCGCGTACCCGACTAGTCCAGCAAAGAGGGTTCAGGACTAGCTGACTTGGCCGCCTTTAAACAGTCAAAAACATTTCACAACAGCTGAAGCAAAATAGAAGGAAATGACTAGCCGGCTAGGGTAGCAAAGAGGGTTCAGGAGTAGGTGACTTGACAGCGTTCGCTTCAGGGGACGCAAACGATAAACGCAATCACGCATGAAAAAGCACAGGCGGGCGGCGGCGGGCGTGTAAAAAATGACGACGCAAACGGAAACACACATGTATAATACATGAAAAAAGACAAATGGGCATGAAAAAATGATG